AATCTGCTTGCGTCTTATACACCGAAGGTATGAATAATATATATTCATACCAACGATATACACAAGCCATGTGTAAATATATTTAAATAGGCATGGATAGTTTAGTTCAATTGTATGTGTTATTTATAACAATAGTAGTTTTTTTCTTTTAAAAACATAACTATTTATAATGCTCCCTAAATGATAAGAAAATAAATTACAGTGAAAGCAATGAAGATTTTGTAGGTTTTGAACCAAACTAAATAACAGTAAACCTTTTTTTGATTTACGGTATTTTCTTATTTTGATGTTTTAAGCTATTTTGTGTTTAGAACAATATATATATATACTAATTTTTAAAGTATCAAATTAAATTTTTGTTCAATAAAAATCTTTCAAATGCGACTGTAGCTTTTTCCCCCCAAAACTTTGTCTTCAAAATAAGGGTGCGTCTTATACACCAGTGCGTCTTATATTCAGAAAAATACGGTAGATGAGTAAAATGTTTAAGTCTTGATCGTCCTGCCATCTCTTGGAACGTTAGGTAAATACAGCGGATTATTGCGATTAAAAAAAATGTCCAGACTTTTCCGAAAATACTGTTCACCATGAAACCAAAGTGTTTTGGAGACATAGAAGAAAATCTACATGTTCGGAAGAGAGAGCTAAAGACTACTTATCACTGTCCTATTTATACATAGATGTTGAATAAAATCTAACCACCCTCATTGTTTCATGTGGTATTAACTTCAATATTATGTTTTCAGAAACACATCAGTTTCGAATTTTGATATTCCTTTATGCACACAAAATTAAACACCACATTATTCTTACACAAGGTATTAGATTACGTCATACAAGGTACTAGCATTACATCATACTTGATACTAGCTACGTCATAGAAGATACGAACTTTCCAGCTTTACTTGTATACCTCTATGGCTTTCTCTGAAATGTAAAAACCAAACCCTTCAAAACAAGTCCAAACTTAAAATCACTGGATAAACCTTTAGCGTACATCAGTGTTTAATTAAAACTTAAAGAACTGTTTAAAAATTGTTACAGAAAAAAAAGGTCAATCTTTTACACGAAAAATTTGTTAAATAAGATCTACTTCAAAACAGATAAAATATTTACATTTTCAAGAACAAACGGATGACAAAAATACAGTTTCTGTATCACTCAGTTAGTGTTGTAGATCATTTAGTTATTTCTGAATAACCCAGTGAAGTTTTCACGAATCACTTGTTTTTGTTAACAGTTTTATAAGTATGCTTCCATGTGTATTTTTGGACTGAAGTAAAACTTATTATATTTTATGATATTTTAATCTATTTAAGAGTGCTACTCCACATATTTTAGAACCAAAAACTTCAACCTGTCTGCTGATTAAATATTCAGCGTCACGTGTCTTTATTTAAATAATACATCTCGTTAAATAAGTTAAGTTGGAAAGTTAATTTCATAATTTTGTTTTGCACGCTATACCGTCGTACGTTTCCAGCTTCTTCAAGAAGATGATTAATCAAAGCTTGAAAGTACAGCAGAAAATCGATTGTCAAATTTCACTCAAATTGTCAAAGTGTTATTTCTCATAGATGGCGCAGCTGCATGTCAATAACAGCTTGGTTAGCTATTCCAGCGGGAAAATTACGTCACTTGCTACGAGGCTTACGAAGAAATTGAACGCTTTTGGGATTTTCCTTTTGTATCTTAACGAAATCAAACACGTTTTAAGATATAGGAAAACAATAGAAGATCCTTGATGAGTTACAATATAACGAATAAATAAGGTAAGAACGCGTTTCTTTGAGAGAATATAACGCGCGTTTCAACTCAAATTAAACTGTACCTTAATTACTAGCTAGTTTTATCTGCTGGGTGAATTATCTTTAGTTCAGTTTACTACCCCCATATGACATATGAAGCAAATAGTAGGAAATAAGACCTTTGAATCCACTGTATCTCACACTTTTGGATATTAATGTAAGTAAACATCTAAAACCATTCCGTGTAAGTAGCT